CTTGATAAAGTTATATGTGTTGCCTATCTTTGTATGGGTAAATTGATTCTTGATGTGCTGAAATCATCAACACAATGGTACAATTGGAGTAATGGTATGCCTGGAATATAAAGATGCAAAATACATTTTTTTGTTTTCTGTGTTCCCTCTCTATATATGGTGTACTATGCACAGAATGTCCCAGCTATCATGGAGTTTGCCTGGCATTTGAAAGTCAGCAGAGCACCTCAGGCTTCCTAAGCAGACCCACACTGTGTAGAAGAAGAGCGTATGATGTCTTAGTCTACAGCTGGAGACCAAAGATGACAGTTTTACAGATCTTAACAGGGAGAGGAAAGGAAACCTCTATACATGCTGGGTGCATCCTATTCTTGCTATTTAAGTATCCAATATGCTAAGGTCATTTAAATATATATATATATATATATATATATATATATATATATATAATGGCCAGTCTTCGCAAACGAAGATCCGGGGAAGGTCTTTACACCTTCCAGCCTGCGCATTGGATTTTTTAGGTGAGACACAGCGTGCGCGGAACTGAGCCCACCCTTTAATCCTGAGGTTCATCTGCCGGGGCCAAGCGAGCTTGGACAGTGGCAGCGAGGTCCTCAGGACGTAGATGGATTGCCTTACGGGCTAACGAGCTCCATCTGCCTGGGGAGTGTCCCTGACCGGGAATCGAACTCGGGCCTCAGTGTTGACAGCACCGCATCCTTAACCACTAGACCACCAGGGGCTCCCTTTTAAAAAATTAAGTCACTGTAGGTCACCTCTAACATCTGATTTGTGAGTAACTGCCTGCTGACATGCATTGCAGTCAGTTAAAGTTACATCTCATTTAATCTTTTTATGGCTAATCTTTGGGGATTAGGTAACTGTTACTTTAGTCAACTCTAATTTAAAAAAAATATCTGTGCAGTACAGATAGCCATTTGTTTTTACCTACCTCAGAAAAGAAAGGAGCACTGTACTTGAAAGTAAATGAAGTTTAGTTTATATTTATGTGTTTTCAATATATCGACTATAAAGGCAAACTTCAAGAGTACTATATACAAACTTGCTTTGATTTATTTGCATTTAGCATTGCAGCTTTTAGACTAAAAATAAAATGTGTCTGATTTTGATTTGGATCTGTCCCTTGAGACAGTGTGAAACCGTCTATCACCAAGAACACATCAATATAGGAGGATTAACTGTTCACATGCACTTTAAACATCAAAGTGTTTGTATGAAGTAATGGAAAATAAGTAATTTGTTTTATCATTCTCTGTGAAAACATAGAACGCCCCTTTTCAAAGTAAATAGTCTTTATTTTAAAAACAGGAAGATTAATAGCACTCAATCTATGGAAGAGACTGCTGTTAAGTAAAATACCATTTATACTGCCTCAGTCAATACAACTGGCGTTTTTTCCTCTTATCAGTACCATCGGTGCACTGGGTCAGTCAGTGCCTGCTGTTCCCTGTTAAACATAAGCAGACAGATGTGATTGCTGTCTTTAGGATTATTTGTATGCATTATGGCATAGGGCTTTCCAATTTCTGGGAAAAAATTTAATGCTACTTAATTGCCCTCTAAGTCAGGTGCTTCTAACATCCTTTTCCACATTTTATCTTTGTGGCTAAATCCATCTCTTTTAATAGAATAGAGTGTAGTCATTAATGATACAAATATGGCATTTGAACCATGTTGAGGAGATTGCTGTGCATTTCAATAATTACCAGAATTACCATTAATTCTGTAGGCCAGCTAGAAGCTCTTCATCACTTTTCCTTCCCATTCGTCTGTGTATTTTATTCCTACCTTCTTTATTGCATTTCCCCTAACAAACTTAGCTTTTTTTCTTTTTCTGTTTTTATTTGGACATCACTACCTTTCTTTTCATCAGTTTTATGGAAAAGGCACGTTTCTGTCCCTGAAAATGTTAGCATATGAGTTATTCAAGTCACTCCACAAACTCAGAAGACTGTGACAATTTTAGAATATAGAAGGAACCATTCTGGTTAAGAGCAAAGGTCAGTCTAACCCAGCTATAGACTTCGCAACAATGGTCCAAATAAAACACTCAGGGAAGATTGTATGATCAGGACTGATAGATATTTTGTTTCCCACTCATTCATTCTGATTCCAGCTGTTCAAAGCTCAAAGACATACAGGCTGAAATGAAGTTTCTATGAATTTGGAACTGGTCCATGGTCTTCCTCATTCATTAACTTGCCCAGTTTTCTTCTTAAAGCCATAATATCTTTATGTGACTTCTGATTTTGTGCAAATTCCCCTCATTCATCTGTCTTCTTGGTGGAAGAGTCCTGTTCTTTAGAGTAAGTGCATTTAATAATTTCTCACTTGGAAACAGCACTCCGTGGCTTTGATCATTCTTGTTGTACTTCTCTGACCTTTCCCTGTTTCTCTTCTGAGATAAAAGTCCACCTCTACACTCAGTAGTCAAGATGCAAGTGGATTCGTACTCAGTTAGTTTCTCTGTCTTTTTTTTTCCCTTCCTGATTAAACTGAGTGTTGATTTTGCTGTTCTGATTGATACAGAGCACTGAGTTAGCAGGTTCTTGGTAATATGTATCATTTCCCCGTGGTCTATTTCCTGAATAGTAATGGTTAGCTCAAAGCCCATCATTTTGAGTGTGAAGTTAGGTTTAAATTTTGGGAACCTAAAACACCTTTCAGAAATCCAGGTAGCCCATATCATCCTTTATCCACATGATTCTCAACAAAACCAAAAACCAAGGGCTGAGTATGCATATAACCCAAATTCTGATCTTCTATTTTCAAGATTACAGTTAATAATGTAATTTAGGACTAGTGGAGATTTAGCTAATTAATTTTTTTCTTCTACAACAAGTGTATGAAATAGAAGGGGTATGTTTAAGAGAGACTTTGGAAGAACAAATGATTAACATCTTCCTTAAATTTATTTCCAGACAGTGTTGACATGAGATCTTGGCATTGGAATTCAGAGAAAAAAATTGAAAAACAGGATTGCTTAAGGCATGGGCTTATACCCAGGACCTAAGTTCCTTTTTTGCCCAGAACAGATCACAGATCATCTTTATTAAAATAGGGCATGGTGGTGGGAAAAGGAAAAATCTTTGTACTTGAAAAAAAATGCTATAAATTGAATATACAGTATATCGTGATGAGGAGCCACTCCATAAAGTATGTCCTCTTTCCCAGTAAACTTTATTTCAACTATGTGACATCTCAAATTTATATTTTTCTGCCGTTCATAAGTAAAAGAGTTTAGCAAAATGTGTTAGGTAATACATACCATAAGTTTAAAATATTTATAGTTTAATTTGGTGCTGGACCAAGGAGAGATATTGCAGGGTATTGCAATTTTGGGTTATTTCCTTTGAGGAAGCATTGTATTTCTGACAGGGTAGGGGAGTTGCTGGTGTTCAAAGTAAAAAACTTTGTTGATATGTCTGCATCAAGACCTGTGTGATACTAGGATCACTGCTGAACAAAAGGAGTCAGTATTTTGTTTCACATATAGTTAAGTTCAGATTCCTTAAGGTCTGTCAGCTTAGAAACCCACATACAGACCAGTACCAGGGGCTACTTTGGGAAGAAGCAGCAAACATGGCATCTCATCATAAGTTAATGGTGTGGAAAATCTCTGCTTTGATGAACATATGGCCACTGTAAAAGAAGAACAAAATATGAATGAATACTGATTTACTGTGGTAAAAGTGAAATAGTTGATTCTTATAAGAGGGAAACATTAAAGATTGATAGATACCCCTAGGCAATTTTATTTTCAAGTGGGGATGTTTAGAGGCATTTGAAAAAATAAAAGAAAAAAGAAGCTATTTTATAGCTATAAAAACATTTCTACACTACAATCTGTGAAAACCACTTCAAATGTGATGTGTAGGCCTCCTGCCTGATTGTGTCCAGAAATATGAAGAAGAATCCATTTTATATATTCATTATTACTATATAACTGCAGATTATGTAATTATTTTCTGGTGAAGAACCATACGTGTTACAGGAAAGTTAATTTTTTATCTTTTCTGTTTATAAAATCTTAAGTGAATTTTGCAAGTAAAAAAATCTTATTACAAATTCAGTTACACATTAAAATAAAAGACTTCTTAAGATAATAAGTGGTAGTTTCAGTCCAAACATAGCTAGCTAAGTGTAAAATTCACTGAACTTCCTTTCTCATGCAGCAGATGAGAAAACAAAAGGCACTGTTTTCTTGCTGGAAGAAATAACCTTTACTAATTCTGAGTTTTGCAAAATTGATTTGCTCTACTTTATTTGCTGCAAGTCAGCACAAGTATGCACCTTTCTGTCCTTTCAGGCGTTTTACATTTGCCAAGGGCAGTATTCGATGTTGCCATTAGGGACTTTTTCATACTGTGCGTCCTCAATGCTGCCCATTTCAAGAAGTGACTTACCTATCTTTCAGGCATAACTTCATATCTGTATTCTTCCATTCTTTGCAGCTTGCAATAGACTAGATTTTTTGTGTTTTGGGTGTGGATGTGAAATCTTGTTGAGTCCAACCCTAACTCTCCCTAGAGTAGTAATTCATTTTTCAGCAGTACATAGCATATATCTAAACCAAAAATAGAAAATTTGATTGTTCTATATCTAGCTAAGTGCTCATTGCATATCTTTGCATTTGGGAAAAAAAAAATGTTTTTACTATTTTAAATGTACTTTACTCCTTGAAGTGCAATAAAAGAAAATTTCATTCTGAAGGCTACATAAACTCCAAAATTGTAGATAAGTAGTGTTCTACTCAATAAACTGGTAACCAGTCATGGAGATTCAAATTAAGGAAACTGTGCTATGTGTTTTAATGTGACTGTTTTTCTTAACAACCTGTTTACTGTTGACCTGTTCAATTTACAGACACATACGTACCTATAAACCTGTTTCCATAGATTCAATAGGGCTTTAATGTTTGATATGGAGAAAAGAAATGATTATTTTTTTTATGTTTTAACTTGTGTTCTGTTCTCTAGAGCACTCGAGCAGCTTTAGACCATCTGGAATCTGTTCCTGAGAAACTGAGCCTGTTAGAAGATTTGAAAGATACTGGAGTGAGAAGGACTTCATTTGACTCTTTCAGTAGTTCTAAAATATTTTAATTAATTAAGGTTCTCTCTAAATGTGTAGATCAATTGTTTAATAAGATATTTACAATTGTTTATGTACATATTATATAGACAACATACAGAAATTTATTTTCATGTTTATACAGATTTATTTGAGGGTATAAATTTAGCTCTAAATAGTAACATTGCTGAGGTGCTCGAAAATGTAGGCAACCATTGGTAACAGGGCATAATGGGTCATGTGCTAGTTACTGGTTCAGAATATTTATGTTGAGTGGTAAATTCTAATATTACGTGTTAAAAAATGAAATTTTTGTGGCTACATAAATTATGCCAGTTATTTCAACTTTTAACATAATGAGTGAAGATAGATGAACTTTGTAGCTTTTTGGTTTGTTTTGACATAATGACAATTATTATAATTTATTTTCTCAGTTCCACTATCAAATCAAGGTGTGTTTGGACACAGTGGGACATATTGACAGTAGTGGTGACACAGTGTCAAGTGTGATAAGCCTCAGATTAGATCTTCAGTAGCTAAGTGGCTAAACCCCTATACCATAATTACTTTCCTTATATGAAGTTGGAACCTCCTTGAAAAATATAAATTTTAAATCAGAGTTAAACCACGGATCAGCAAATGCACAATGATTTGCATTTGATTTGCTCTATAGAATTTTTTATCCTGTGGTAGTAATAAAAAATTCAAAAAATAATTGCTTGCAGCATTGCTGATTCTGTGTGTTCTTGCCTGAGGTCATCAGCTAATAATTTTATTGCTGTCATCATTAGCAGAGTTAGGAATGGAAATGCAGGTTAAAATGCTTGGGTTTTCTACAAAAAATATCATTGAGATATACAGTTTTAATTTCACGTTGCAGATATCCCCAGAAGAGCTTTTTTGCTCTGACAGAGTTGGTACTTGTCTTCTGTTTCTGCTAAAGGAAAAATTCTGCTCTCAGCAGGCAAAGCAAAGGCTTGAATGTGGGGTATTAACAATCTCCTTTACACTTGCCCTTTCTTGCTTGACATTGCTTTGAGGATTGCTTTGAGACTGGAGTTTCATTACTATTTCAATTCAAAATTAACACACTGGATTTTTTTGTACAATAGCATGTTTCACTCTCAAATGGTATGCATGAAGTATTTCAAAGCTAATCCTTGTCTTCCACTTCTAGCAAGTTCTTCCCTTAATGTTTTCATAGGAAGGGAGAAGGAAAGAGAAAGGAAACCTTTGGTAAACCTCACAGGTTGTCTCAGAGTTCTATTAATTCAAGTGAATCATTATCTTATTCAGTGAGAAACATTATGTTTTCTTATTGGGAATACTGTTTAGTCCATATCCTTAGAACACTTTTTTCGTCAAGTGCTTGTTTCTACAGTAATGTTATTAATTTTTCGCCATTACAGAATTTCTTTGCTAAAAGGTATGATATTGCTGAGTTTTGGAAAGAGTTACAAGTAGTCATTCACCACTTAAGGATGAGACCATTGCCAATATATCTTATTTTTATTTTACCGTTATTTTTCTGTACAGAACATTATGCTTTCATATGGCCCCTGTATTTCAGCTTCTGAAAGTTAATATTTAACTCATTTGTGCTATATTGAAAATTCTTGACAATACCTGTGTTTACAACAGCCAGACAGCATTTACTAACTACTTTTCACATTGTGAAATCATCTAGATTTTTTCAATCACTTCTAGGAGTCCCATTGCCGAATGGAGATGATTGAGGAACGGTATATGAAGTATAAAGAGATAGTGAGTTCTTTACAGCAACAGCTGGAAGATTCAAAGCGAAGAGACCAAGTCAAGGTATGTCTCTGTACTCCACTTTTGTGTCCCAATTACTTTCAACCAGCAATATATAAATGCTTTATTTAATATATCATTTAATATAATATAATTCCATCCATTGCTGATGGAATGGCAACTATATTGGCATGGCAGGAAATTTGATGACAGAAGTGTTATCTTCATTGTAAAATGTCATGCATACTTTGCAAAAATCTTTCGCATTTCATGGGAAAGTGTCTTACTATGCCTTGATACTCTGAAGTGTTTACTTGATTCATCAAATTTCTATCTACAGCAATTTTTTAAATTGTTTTGTTCAATTTTCTCTTGTCCTTTCAAGTAAAAGATAGATATAGAAACCTGTTTCCTCCATGAAAAGGAAGATTAATTTGTAAGTCACATATAGGAATTTTTCAGTAGTTGATCTTTACATTCTTTACAATGTAAAGATAAGATGCCTCTTCATATACAAATGAAGTCCAGGTAAATGGTAGAGAAGTGATTTGCTAAAGGTCACTTAGTGGACTGATAGCAGAGCTAAACATGAATAACTATCTCCCTGCATTGTAAATCCAGTGCTCGTTTAGAAACATTGCCTGTAATGAGTTCACCTTTCCAATTTTTAATGTGCTTTCTTTCTCATTAGCTTGTTCACTGTCATATCACTCTTTGCTGCATGTCACTGTGATAGCAGCTTGCTTCAGCAGAACTACAATTTCTTACGGATGTGATTGAAATAAGTGATCAGAACTAGAGAATCTTACTAGTATTTCTGCTACTTATCTCAATCAAATCAGATTCTTTGGCAATAACTCATATCTCTGCCTCTAAGCAGTTGAGCTCAAATCTAGGATCACACACTGTATCAAAACTTTAGTATGTTTGTGTTCCCCACCTCATCTGTAGCGATCTTCTGTAAAATGAGGACATACTTACGAGTATGCCTTTGTAAAAGTGGAATATTTTCACTTAGTAATATTTTAGTGGAATATTTTAGCTTAGTAAGTTGCTGTTGTAAGAAGGTATTGATGGCTTGAAAAAGCCCTCTTGCTCTTCCATAAGAGAATTGAAAGGAAGAAACAGGGCACATTCACTTTCAGTCTGTTGCTGATGCTAATCTTCAGTTTCTTGAACTTCTCCTGCCTCCACACAAGAGTTACTAAATCAATAGCCACTGAAATTTGGAAAACGTTGAAAAGCTAAGTGGAATGCAATCGGCTGATGGTAGAACATACTGTTGCACTAAGCTGACTGAACTTACTGAGCTTGTGTGATTTGAACTCTATATTCAGAATCCAGTATAAATCTGATTCCAAAACAATATTTCCTCCTTCTTTGGACAGCAGAAAGCCTTTAATGGCTTCCATTTAGTCAGATCTAATTGGGTTTTTGCATGACATAGAGTACTCTTTGCTGTCACGGCTGTTACAAATAGAACAGAATGTTCAAAACCAAGTAACAGACGGGTGCTAATCTGATTTCAGTGATCAGGCTAGCTTAGACTAAAAGAACTCTTTCTAATGCTTGCCTTTCTTACCCTCCTTTGGAACTAACTCAAATGCATTGTTGTTTAATTTTTTTTTTAATTTTACTATTGGATGTCAATTGGGACTCTCTAAAATTGATTGCTGAAAGAACATAAGTTTGAGGGCATCAAAGTTCATTCTTTCTGATATTTTTAATTCATGCTCTGTACACAGCATAGTGCTTCTGCATAACAAAACAGACAGATATTTGGTAGGTGGTAAGATAATGCATGTTTCTTGTAAAATTTTTACACTGACCATTTTAAATAAAATGACTTGTGGAATTAATCTTTTTCCTTTATTATGATCTTCTTTCTAGCCTTTCTTATAATGCACTACTTTCAGCTTGCTTGCCAACGTTAATCTTAGACAGGCATTATCTAATCCCGTGTCCCAGCTTTTTTTCATTTTAAGGAGGAAGAATTAAACCACAGTTGAATGTTTCCCTAAAGGCTTTCATTTTTCTTCCTTTCCTATGATTTCATTTGTCCACACTCAATATTTCTACTCTTCTGTAGTCTTGTCAGATAGCTATAAAATACCTGTTGCTTAGAAGCTCAGAAAAATCATAATTGCTATTTGTATGTGTTGAAATGTAAGATTTCCAGTAATAAAAAGAGACCAGAGGCTGGCAGAATACCATCAGGTATAACAATCTTGATTTTTCAATGAAGAAAAGGCCAAGTGATAGTAGATAAAGAAAGTAGGAAAAAGAAAATGGTAAAAATAACATGTTAAAATAAAATAACTAAACCCAAATACCAGCAGATGCAAAATCAAAACAGAAAGCTAGAGGAAAACTAAAGATAAATGTTATGATGGAGAGATACAAATATTTTAGGACAATTTCCCAGCCACAGATAATTGACCATCTTGTCAAACACAGCATACAGATTTAATTGTCCATGAAGCACATGAGAAAAGACACATTCTATAAGTTAAAATTTCTGTAAAGATAAAGCCATTTTGTACACAGATACTGGTAGAAGCACCTTGCTTGTTTAAAACCTCTGTTCTAAGATAGCATTTCTGGAAACAGAATGGAAGGACAAAAACTTTTTTGTATTCTTTAAAAGTTGTTATTGAGCTATGAACACCTTAGGTATTAAGTCTCTCATCAGCACATAAGGGGATTAATATGTGTAATTCCCATTAGTCTTAATAGGAGTAAATCCTTCTTCAGTGATGGAACAAAAGTTCATTGTATCTCTAAATTAATGTTGAATTTTATTTTGTTTTCTGTTTAGTTTTCAAATCTTAGTATCAGCATGAGTGATAAATTGCAAATGTTTTAATAAAATTCACTGAGGCTGTTTATGATAATAATTCAATAGCAAAATTGAGTGTTTTATGAACTGATGCGTTTGTGCATTCTCATTTCAAGAAACTGAGTAATTCGGATACCAAGCCAAACTTTTAATCTTATTTTGGATGGTAATGTAATTGGAGAGTACTTGCTGCTGAGCTAATAGAGATTTTTCAGGGATTTTGTTTAAATGACCTTTTTAAAATTATCTTTTCTTTTTAGCTTATAGACCAAGTAAGTTTCCCTTTCTTTTCCAACACTGTATAGGTTTAGTCATAAACAATAGCGCTGTACTTCAGACTTTATTTAGTGATTTAACAAAAAAATTAAAAAGCACCCTCGGGCATTATATGAGAAATCAATGAAGTTTGAGTTTCCTCAGTGGCAGGGAAAATGCGTTTAATATTTATTACCACTTGTGGAACTTCACTTAACTGATGAAGTATACAGCATTCACTGATGTCTGCCCTGCTACTATGATATGCCCTTAACTGTGGATGTGATATGAACAGAAAAGAGAGCATTTTTACAACTTACTGACTTGCAATGCCACCAATGCTTTTCTCAAGGCAAAGCATTTTTTTGCAGACATTTTATAGTGATGAAAAGGGAATGAAGTTCGTATGCAAATTAGTTTGAACCTAACTGCAATACTGAGAATTTTGAGAATTCAAATCAGTATTTTCCAGAATGTGTGAAATCACAGCATGTGCCTGTATGTGTGTTACTGTAGGATTTTTTTAAAAGTTTACAGCTGGTTGATAGTAACAGATAAAATTACTTTTATTTGGTTCTCATAGGACGTGAAAATGGATGCTGAGATTTCTGATGTAGAAGTGACTCCTCACTCTTCTAGTTGGCAAACTCAAAACAACTTTTTGTCCAGCTCACTGCTCTCAGATTCAGGTTGTAAGTATTATATCACAGAAAAAATCTACAAGTAACGCATTCTCCTCTTATAAAAACTTTTTTACTTGAAAGAGTAAGGCACTCTACTATTCAAAAAAGAAGTGCTAGAACCATCTTAAGCATCCTTCTGTGTTTTAGCTTTAGATACTGGATGGATACCTTCGTCTAGGAAGTACTTCATTATATCCTGCTGATAGTTGTTTGGGATTTTTTTTAGCTGGGACCTACAATATATTCTGTTCGTCACCTAAACCTGTGCCAAAGAATAGGGCTGCACGTGGATTCTGAATCTCTGCATGATGAATCTTACCTCTGTAAGCTGTGTGTCTTTTCAGGCACCAGAAACATCCTAAAGCATGAATTCTTTCCCAGATCGTTCGTAGGTACCAGTTAGGCTCATGCTTGTGTAGCATTTTCACAGTAAAAGCTGAATTCACTGTTTCCACTTCAATAGTGTTTGTTAACTGTTCTTTCTATCCCGTCATGCATATACAATTTGTGGTCATGTAAAGTTAAGGGATCTCTGATATAGTAGGAACTTACTCAATAAAAGATAGGACATGGTAAGTCTTAATCTGGTACAGGCACATCTTTGCCTGTAGTGTCAAAAATAACTTAGGTTTTTAAGGTGGTTTTTTTTTGAGCATAACAGTACATTAGTATCAGAATGCTTTTCTTCAAAAGAGTATCACCTTCCATTTCTTTTCAATATAGCCAGTTTGTGTACTGGCAACCAATTCAGTAAAGTAGCATTCTATGTAATAAATTGTATTACAGGATTCATTGTCCTTTGAAACTGTTGCATCTTAGAATGAGTGCTGCAGTGCATTACTGCTCACTAGTTAATCCTGAATTGATCTGATGAGGTTAAAGGTAATTGGTTTCTTTTCCTTTCCAATCTGTGGGTTGTGGTTATGTATGCAGAGCATACTGAATAATGATAGTGAGAATAAAGCATAAGAGCAAATGCCTCTATCCCATCTGTATTTCACGAATACCTTACGCTGTCTCAGAGTTGATTTTTCCTTTTTCCTTAACCTCATCCCCGTAAAAGTCATGCAAATTAAAGTACAGTTCAGCCTGTTTTTGGTATAGAAAATAAGTAACCCATACCTTGCTGGCATGATGGACTAGATGTCCCTTCCAGTCTCAACAATTGCAAAAGTGATTCCACTGCAAAAACTTATTGAAATTTAAAAATGCAGCTGTGATAGTTTTAACCTAGACCTTCCTTGGTGACCAGTTTGTAACCAAGGAAGGGGCAGTGTTCCAAATATTCCATACAATTTTTACATAAATCGGGGTATAAATAAGAGGGGAGGAGCGGCCTTTGCTCTCTTCTCTTCCAGCGAGGTTCAGGAACAGTGGGCCCTTGCGTTGGTCTTGCTTATCTAAGGCTGAGACCTGCAGCGACCGCTGGCCTGACGTGGATGTTTGGAGAGTGCTGGCCGCGTCTACCAGTCCTGTTTTTCCAAGGGACGTGGTGAAATTTGTTTTATTAGTTATTTTGCTAGTTCTCGGATTTAATTGCGTATATCTGTTTGGTGTCCCTTTTTTTCCCCTTTTGTCCCTTTTTCCCCTTTCCCTATCCCTTCAAGGGGTGTTTAGATTCCCTTTTGCTGTGTACATAGAATCTTAACTATATATAACTGTAATATACGTAAAATGTATATTTTTTATATAACTAGCTTGATTTCAGGTTCTTCAATTTGCATAGTTTTTTTTCCTTTACCCTGGGAGAAGGGAATTGCTGCTGTGGGTTCGGGCATTTGGCAGGGAGCCAGGTTCAAACCATCATAGCAGCATAAAGGTTCCTAAAATATTACAATGTATTTATATTGCTTAACATGAATGGAACTTGCTAGACCTTTGTTCCTTTAATACTTTTTAATAAATTTTAGGCAGTTGTAAGAGAAATAGGATCCATCTGATCTGAACACCAATCTGATTAAACAGTTCCATGTATTTATTCTCTTACTCAGCTGTTTTTATCAGCACTAAGCACTAAGTTTTCTGGATCTAAAAAAATTAGTGATGAATGAAAGGCAGTAGTGATTCAATTCACTGCTTAGTGGTTATGGCAGTAAGGCATGTAGATTACTTCACAGACTTTGGTTAGTGATTGGTTATCACTTTATGCTGAACCTGATCTTCACCAATAAAATGTGTATTTTGAAGTTTTTGCTATAGTTCTTGAGAACAGTGAAAATTCTTCAGCGGTATTAACACTAAGGAGATTTTCCAGTGAGTGGCAAATGATAAAGGCAGCTACTTCAGTCATGGTAGTTACATAAACACTGTGAACTTTTAATTTCAGTAATGATATTAATTAGTTATAATTTGAAACTTTGACAGTGAAGTATAATTTGAGGTCTTTGCTCCCAAGTCTCCTGTAGCTTTTAATAAATCTACCTATAAATGTCATCATCTATTTTCTGTGATTAATTATCTCCTTACTTCTTCAGAGAATGGACTGGGGTTTTTCTCATTTACTTTTTGGTGCTGTTTGCAAGCATTTGTGATTTATGTTTCCTCATTCCATCTCTTCTAAATTCATGAAACCTTACAAACTATGTAGTCAATACGTAGTACTAGAAACTTCCTTCCCAAAGTGTGTCTCCTTGTAGAGAGCATGAGGAAGGAGAGGAATCACATTTGATATAATTTAAGTATCTGTGAGGAGGATCCTAGGATTGAAGCTTAGAACTGATTGAAGAAAGGACAAATAGTATGAGAAAATAGATAAGGGAACAACAATCTGCATCCATATATGTCTTTACTAAAAACTTGCCAATGCAGAAAGCAGTTAAAAGGAAAAGTAATTAACATTAAAATTCTGTTTTGTTTCTGGTATAACTTCTGCAACTATAACAGCTTTTCCATTACTAACTATTTCAAAAGATGCTGTGGGAATGTGCTTTTATTTCCATACCGATTTTCTTAGAAAAGAAGTTTAACTGAGAAAATAATTTATTCAAGAAGCATTCATTAGACATAGTTTGCAGTCTGTATTATTATCAGACCAAAACGGTTGGTCCAAAAAGTCACTACTAGTTGTTATCTAAAGAATAACCCTCAGAAACTGTTTTTAATGGCTACTGTATTTTCCTGAAATTTTTATTACAAGGGTCCCTAGAGTTACATATGCTTTGCATTAGCTTTGTGAATTGAATCCTGCCTTTCCCTTTGTACGTTTCATCGCTTCGAGGTTTTAACCTGGATGGTTTCCCAGAAACTGTATATGTCTTACAAGCTTTCTATTGTCCTTGGGAATTTATGTTCCAGGGCATCATAAGCTGTGACTTTATAGAGAAGAAAATAGCCACCAGTTTTCCAACTTCTGTAGCTGGGGTTGCAGTTTTCTCTGACCTTTAGGCTCTGGTGATAGACAACACTCTTGTGTGAACATGGTATATAGCATGAATGATATCATGGTTGAATGAAAACAAGTTGTCCTGAATGTAGATTTTATTGTCGTAACAATTAACTCCTGCAGTGTATTGCAGATGACTGTCTTTATCCTTTAATGTACACTTTTTCATAAGTTCGTAGGACTATTTCTTTTGGCATTTATAAATAAGTAACATAATTAAAAGTAAAAAGACACTGCAACATCATTATGCCATGGGACACCATTCTAGAACAAAACCTTCTAAGGCTGCTTAAGCATCAGAATCTGTAATGATTCTTCAATGACATCTTCACTTAGAAAAATGAAAATTGATTTAGTTTAGCAATGAACTTTATTGTTTTTCCCCTTACTTTGAATACTGTCTGCAGGAAGTACCACTGAAATAGCATACAGTAGCATAGTTTTGGACCAATACTGAAAACTTTATGCTACAAACTTATAACTCATTGTTATACTAATGTCCCAAACAGAGTGATTTCATTATCCTTCTGAAAGTGAAAACATCAACTAATCAAACTGAAGTCTTACTCCCTATTAAATAACTTTTGGTTATATACTGCCACAATTTTACTGGATCATTAAAAATTGCACTCTACAATTTATTACAAACAATCAGGATGACCACTTTTCTGACTTGCTTATGATGTAAGGAAGACCATAAGAAGAAGGGTATGTTGTATAAGCTGATATTGGCTTTGCTTAATTTCTGCCTTTTGCCAAGTTTGGATTTTTTTTTTTTTGTTAGCAGATGATGTTTTGTCAATTTAAACATCTAGATTTCGATGCAACATAATGTATTTAGAAATAAACATTATACATGAAACTTGCTGTGAAGGTTTATACACAGTATGACAGCGTATGAACACTTATTCAGTGTCACTTGTTGACTTTAGTCCATGCTATTGGTAAAGATATTCCGTCAGAAATTTTTTGACTGGTTTGTTTTGTCTTATTTAAACAAAAATTCTGGATAACTAAATGGAAAATATCTTAGTGAGATTAGAAAATGTTTTTAAAATGCAGTCTATGTTTCTTCTGTATAAGAAAGCTCTTGACCATGCTTGTAATATAAAGTATTAAAATCTGTTTCTCCTGAAAAAAAAGTCACTTTCTCAATTCATATTAATATCATATTCATATTCATACCATATTACTTGCTGAATAAATTATAATATTAAAAAATGAAGTTGATATTTTAAATAAACATCAATGGTCAGTCAACAAAATTGGAGAATCATAGGTTCAAAAAGGCCTCTAAGGTCATTGACTGCATGTGTTTCTTTGAAGATGCTTAATCACTTTTTTGTGTGACTTATTTCTAGCACTTATGAAAAGAATGGTTCCTTTTGACACAAGTGCCACCAAGGAAGATTCTACCAGTGTTGCTGGCAGTGAAATGAAGCTGCAAGCAGAAGGAGGAAAGCAGTAGAACATTTTACGAAACCACACCAGTTTTCTCTGTGGTAAATTCCATTCCACTCTTTTTTTGTTTTTGAAAAGTAGTTATTCCATCTGCTACAGGAGTGATGCACCCTTAATGATTCATGAATTGCCAAACATTGAAATGAAAGAGCACGAAGAGTGATCCTGATGAAGTCTTGTGAAAATTTACGTGACTCGTACAACAAAGGCTTTCTGGGATTTTTCTATTCTCTTGTATTTGTTTCTCCAATACTGCTAGACTAAATTTATTATGTTCCTGATGTATTATCAAGTGAAATACCTGTGACATTAATCTTAGCTATGACCTTATTTACTCCTATACAGGAATTTTTTGACAGTTGTTTTTTATTGCATTCAATAACATTACTAATAACGAAAAAATATCCAGAAATTACCTATTATTATGGGAGTCCTTATAAAGTGTTGTAAAGACACATTTGTGATTGTAGATTCTTCAGTTTGCAAAAATCATTTAAGAAAGAAGTGATAAACAAAGTGAAATCTTCTCAAAGATTTTGAAAATTCATATCTTGGTTTCAGGTTCAGCATATATCTGTTATAAGCTGTCTCAAATTATTCTTCTGGCCAGAGCAGTTTTATCAGATGGCCTCTGATAAGGCACTTTAAAGCATCTGAATCTCACCCTTCTGTATTAAAAGTGTAGAATGGCACTGCTATGTGGCTGTGAAAATTTTAATATCAGGGTTTAATGATCATTTATTTATTCTGTTTTGTTCTCTATTAGAGAAGATGTGGCATATTGATTGTAAAATGATACAGAAATATGATATTGCACATTTTTATTTGTTCAGATATCTATATTCTAAACAAATTGGATACAATTTTGCATTACAGTGGTCTCAAATAGCATATCACAGAAGAATTTTCTGCTGTCAAAAGAAATACAAGTGTTTCTGATGGTCCTTGTTTTATTCTCCTCTCAAGTGCTTCTGGCGCAATCACTAGTAATGTGCTTTAAAAGATTTGCCAAATCTGTCAGAGTACTGTAGCAACATTAACACCATTGAAACCAGTTTGTTTTGTAGACTTCTTTCTATTTAGGAAACCTATTTTTTCTCTGAAGCACTGTCATTTATTAGCACATTTATTAGTAGGTGTCTCAGGCATAATGCACAGGTCACCTCAAAACAGGGCCTTATTTTTTGCTTGTTTTTACTTATTTTTGGTTTGTTTGTTTGTTTTTTTAATTTTCTAAGAAGTATTTTGCAGTCCCTGTGGGTTCTCTGGACAGTGCACTTACTTGACAATCACCTTGTATTCACCCTGTTTCAAACAGAACATGCTGACAACATCAAAACCAGACAGGGGAACGAAAAAAAATGGAGTTCATTCTCTTTTCATTTTCTCTGTATTTAAGTTGCTTAAAATTAAAAAAAAAAAAAAAAAAGATTTGGTTAAAAAAAGTTTTCTTACCTTTTGTATGTGTATAATACTGTGCACACCAGTGCTGGCATTGGCTTTTTGCAGACTTTGGCACATCTGTTTATTCAGAAGGTCAAGAAAGCTAAACAGGCACATCCATCTCTTCTGATCTCAATAGCAATGACAGGGACAAGAAGAAAAAACAAAAAATAAACTTCTATTCTCTACAAAGACCGTGGATGTTATGAAGCAGTGTTTAGCTCAAGCCACAGTTACCATAAACTAAACTTACTTTTAGTGGATCCAAAATTTGTAATTTATTTTTTTAATTAGATCAGAGTAGAGCTGGAAATATAGTATTCAAAATATTTGAGCTCATTTTTCTGCTAAAACGTTGAAAAATTGCAAAATGAAATGTCACCAGCTTGCAGACTTTATGGTACCTACAAATTATGGCCAAAATATAGAAAGGACACTTTAAAATATATTATGAAACAGTAAATCACGCTCTCAAAGCACATTAGGTTGTAATAGGGTCTGGTACATGGATTGCTGATGGATAGATGTATACTCAACCCATTTTACTGAAATTTAAATGATTTTTGAGGTATAAGTGCTTTTTGGTAAATGAATGGGCCTTTAAGAATGAACCTTCTCAGCTGAGAAGTAATACACAGAAAAATATTGTCCTTTCTTTTTCCTAGGGAATTTGTAAAAATCTTCCAGTTTTATGTTTTTATACATTTTTTCCTCAACTGTAACCTAGAAATCTGAAGTATGTTTTCTTAAAACAGGATCACTTCTGCTTTAGAGTGTTAGAAAACTAAGGATAAGCAATCTGATCTCCCTCACTATTACATCAAGTATTGAATTGATTTTTGTACTACGCAGGACAGAAATTACTACTAGCTGAATAATTTTAGCATTAAGACTTTAAATATGCTCAGTGCTTAGTATATTTGCCTGTGGCTATGTGACTGGGTTTTCTGCAGAGTTTTATATCCTTTTATGAAATTTCTAAAAGGGCTGGAAGAACAGAAGTCAAACCACATTTAAAAAAAAAAAAAAAAAAAAAAAAAAGAGGAATTTTTACTGAGTAGACTTATGGACTCCAAAGCCAGGAAATTCTTTCTTAAATTTACCCTCTTGGCATGGCAGTCTAGATAGCATGTAATATTTGTCCCTCTTCCACCTTTGATAGAGGTTCATATTACAAAATGAATTTTGTTTCCTCTTTACTGAAGGCTAAAATTTGCTCATGACATTATGTGAAATTGTCCCTTTGTGGTTTAAGAAATAATATTTTTTCCATATTGGCCTGAAATAGTACTCTACTGACCAGTTTCAGTTTTTAAAGTAAAAAACCATAATTTTTAAATAGAACCGATGTATATTTCAGATCTTAAAAATTGCTGTCCCTTCTGGTACCTATTATTTTTTATACATTAACCCTTTAATTACCTATTCCTCAATTCTGACCCAAAGCAATGGTTTTCAATAATCAGCAAGTGTGGTATCATACCAAAAAAAATGGTGGTTTGTGTCTTGGTTCTGTTTAGCATTTGGTAAATCAGGAACCTTTTTATATATGTAGTAAGTACATACAAATCTGACAAGCTAATAACAGACATTCTTTTTTTTTTTTTTTTTAAATACTGTCCTGCAATACAGTTGTTCATTATTGTGCTTTTAAAAATGCACTGGCCCTCTATGTCAGCATCAAATAGTTGTCACTTGAATAAGCTATAAATTTTATGCCCTTTAGTTTCTTAATATTTTACAGCAAACTTGAGAGTACTTCATTACTTTTGAGCTTATATTTAGTCAATAGCCAAAATAATTTATTTTTTATTATGTAATTATGTCATCCTAAGAAGAAATGTCAAAATAAAAATAAAGCTTAGTCCAGGATAAAAAATAAAATTTTACAGTGTTTTCTTACATTTACTTCTCAAATTTTTGATGGAAGCCAGTCTTCAGTGATGGTGAAAGTACTCCTTGGATATTCAAAACTCAGCCACATTTTTACTATCTACTCTGACAAAGTAAATAAAGAAGATACATGAAAATCTCATACAACAAAGAAACTACTGTTCTAAAATCAATTTTTGAGCTAAGAAATCTGCATATCAGTTAATCTCCTGCTTGCAAGGCATAGTCTCTGCACTGTGTAGCACTGAATGCTTTTTCTTGAATGAAAATGCCAGCATTACCCTGGTATAATTTTTATCACTAGAATGAGTAGTATACAACCTGAATACATTATCATATCAACAACACTCAGAAAGATTTATTCATTAATTTATGAGGGAATGCTTGTTTCAGTCAAATTTTACTACATGTTTGTAGTGTTAGTACCATATTCATCTCTCTTTAAACCTTGTCTTCACTCCACGGAAGCGTTGATACTGAAGTTAATGTGAGCTGCAGCCTAATATCTGGGGATATAGCCTTATCAAAAATGGGTGTGCAGGAGGACATCACGCAAATTCCTATGGTTTTGATCTAATTGTAGAATTTAGAATCAGATGTAGAGAAAAAGTAGTAGCAGAAGGAGTGAAAAGCAGTTTGTGATTAAAGTTTCAGAACACTTTTATTCTTGGTGCCTTAATTTAAAAACTGCTTCAGAGCTAGTATTTACATCTGAATGAAAGAGATCCCTAAATAAGATTCCATCTTGGATATTTTCTTTACATGCTAAAATGCTTTCTACTCAAGCACAACTCATTTCAGCTCTTTACTGTAAGCATGTCTAGGCTGTTGGGAGTATGAACTTATTTGCCTTTCTATGCAAAGAACTAAATTGGAATTTAAATCTGAAGAAAATTTTAGTGTTGTATACAAGAGTACAGCAAAACTGAATCCGATAAGCTAAGTCTTTCAAAAATCTCTAAACTAATGCCTCTGGGAATGTTGACAGCAAACTTGAAAGAGATTGCTGTGGTTAAAATCCAGCAACATCCAACATTTATCATTTATGCTAACAGCAACAGCTCTCGTGTTTCTAAAGCTGAAATTCCACATCTGTCATTTCTCAGTCTGAAATAATGAGATTTTGTTTTCTCTTGTCTTAATAATGTCAAAATCTATAATGTGAAAATATGCAGTAATATTTTTAAATTTCTAGTCATTTTATTTAGGAATCTAATAGGTGCTGTTTGGATCTAAATATTTTTGGAACATGGTTGTTAACATATTTTTGTTAAAGTATTACATTTAAATACAAGAACTGCATAAAGATATCTCTTTTAGCTTAGTTTTACTATCTTTTTTTTAGGGACATGGCTCCTTAATAGGTGTTTTGTTTGAAAAAGTACAACAGTTCTGGAGTTGTCTCTTATTTTCATCTGTCTTCAGACCAGAGCTGTTTTGATCTTAGACTGCTTTTCTCATCTGCCATCTGCAGTGCACTACTATGCCAGAAGACATTCCACATTGACTTACCCCACATCAGTAATTTTAGTAGTTGATATTCCCACGGAATTACATCAGTTTTGAAGGCAGTTGTTTCTTATAATATAATCTCTTTTCATATGAATTCTCCCACTCTTACTTCTTTACTAAAATAAAAGCTACTTAGTAAATGGACTAACATCAGGTCACATGCTGTCTAATGTTAAAGATTATCCCACAGGCCAAAGTAAATGTGTGCTACTACATTTGTCTAGATTATCTAAATGCTACCGTTTGATTCTACTATGACTTTGTAGAAGGAAATGGTAAAGGATAGACTGCTGCAATAACTCTGAATTATTATTGATTCCAGGCAAAAAGTGAGACTACAACTAACTTAGGATATCTGACCAAGTGCTTAGTCTAGAACCTAAAATACTTGTATTACAAAGTATATTTCTTCAGTGCGTAAATATCAAATTGCCTTAATTATAAACAGTTGCTGACATCTAAACTATTTCTGAAAAGTGATACTGAAATTTGCTAAAAATGATCACAAAGTATCATTCTGCAAACATGGATCTCTGTGTCACTCACATTGTTAAACAAGCATGGAACTGGGAAGCCAGCCTGATTTATGTTCTGGCATTAGGCTCTTTACAGCAACCTCCAGTGACACAGTTTTGTACTTAGTGCGGAAAACAATGAAGATGAGCTGTGTTTTACTGCTGGCCTTGAGAACCTAGAGAGCAGTTTGCATCTGTGGCAAAAGCTATATTCTGTGTGGAGCTCAATGAGTGCACCATTTTTATTGAGGCTTTCACTGCCAGGTACAGCATTAATAGCGCAGTTTCATTCAAACAGCTGCAACCATGAAGACATCATGTAGCTGGCAGAACTTTTGTTACATGTTTTGATTAACAGAATGTCAACAAGTCCATCAGAAACCTTGGAGTTGTTTGTTTTGTCTTCACTAGAGCAGTCTCCAGCACAGTCACAAAGCTTTAAAATGCAGAAACCTTCGTCAGTGTGGGCTACATCAGCAGGGAGGCTCACTAGTCTCCCTGGGGGTCCTAGACCCCAAAGGGGGGGTCCAGGTGAATCCATTAGAATGGTCCAAGGTGAATCCATTAGAATGTTGTTCATGGATTGATTAGAGATCTATAAATTAACAGAAAACTAAGACAAAGTTTAAAAAAGTGAGACAAATTATTCTTATATTTGATAGACAAGAGTGTTCTGTGAAAATGGAAAAATGAAGTATCAAAATTAAGGAACACTTTGTTTTTTCCAGAATGGGAGTAATTTCTTAAACTTCACTAGAGTGGCAGCCTTTTATAGACTGAAATGAAGCTCCTGAATATTTTAATCAA